GCTACTGACCCACTTTAGAAGAATTCCTGGGTTCGCCACTGATCAAGATCGCTTGTTAAAGCAATACACAAGCCAGACACTTCCACATAAAGTTAGCAATCCTTCTAAATGAAGGTCCAACAAAAGATAATCCTCAAACCTTGTAAATATCTTTCCCCGTACTGTATATACTTTTATACATTTTTTGTTGGTCCCTTTAAGGAGAACAATTTCCAATAAGCATTGTTTCTTAACGCCCAAGGATCAGAGACTGTGTCATCTCATTGACAGTGATCAAATCCCTAAAATGGGATTCGTCATCTCTAGCGTGCAATGCAAATGTGGGTTGTTTTGGTGGTGGGAGATCTGATGTTGTGGTGAGCATAGACAGCAATTCGAGCGTGTTGGGTCTGTCTACAGGTTCGTGTTGAACGCAGAGCAGACCAATCTGAACACACCTCCCAACTTCAGATGGGTGACTTGAATCAGCAAGATCTTGGTCCAAAAGATCAACTCCTCCATTTTCACACAAAGAGTCCCAAGCCTGTTGTGGTTTCAGAGAACAAGTGAATATAAGAGCAAGACATGTTTAAAAATAAACCCTGTGGGGGATCAAAAGCAAGATTCTAATGTATCAATGCCTAAAGTCTTACTTACATATGCAAGAAGAGTTTTTCCTTGTTCGCCAAAACTGAACCTTGAAATCTTCTCTCCGCTGATGATTTCTAACAGCAGAACTCCGAAGCTGTAGATGTCTGATTTCTCAGAAAACATTCCAGTCCATGCATACTCCGGAGACATATATCCTCTGCATATATATATCAAGTAGCGTCTCCCAAGTTAATATTTGGATTTACCTTTGAAACCAAGTTAATCATGTCTTGAAATTAGATCTTACAGAGTTCCTACAATCCTGCGAGTGTTGTCCTGATATTCTGTTCCCTGATACATCCGAGCCAATCCAAAATCTGATATTTTTGGGGTCATCTTCTCATCCAGAAGTATATTGCTGACCTTGAGATCTCGGTGAATAACCCTGAGGCGTGAGTCGTGATGGAGATAGAGAAGTCCACGAGCAATACCTTGAATGATATCAAATCTCTTTGGCCAATTAATCTCAATCCTTTTTCTTGAATCTAAGCAAAAAAGCTGCTGTTAAACATATTCCTATGGAGAAAAAGTTGCTCATAGAAAAGGAAAATGGCAAGAAGTGACCCACCAAAGATAAAAGTATCGAGGCTCTTGTTCACCATGAACTCATAAATCAATAGCTTCTCTTCTCCTTCAATACAGCATCCCAAAACCCGGACTAAGTTTCTGTGTTGTAGCTTTGAGATGAGTAGTATTTCATTCATGAACTCCTCTTTGCCCTGTCCAGAGCTGCTAGAAAGCCGTTTTACCGCGATTTCTTTCCCATCTTGCAGTTTTCCCTGAAAATGTTGCAGCAGGGTCATCTCAAGAAAATATAGAAAAGAAAAGAGCAAAGGGATTAAACACAATTCTGACCTTGTAAACTGAACCAAATCCACCTTGTCCGAGTTTGTTTGATAGACTAAAATTATCGGTGGCAGCTTGAATGGTATTCATCTCAAAGAAATCTAAACCTGGGACAACTTGTGGATTCAGATCATTCCTCCATGGATCCTTTGCTATATGAGCTGAAATTTGAGTTAGACTTACTGTGTTAGTGCTTAAGATATAGTATTATAGCCAAGTGAGGATATTCTAATTTTGATGAAGCAAGCTGAAACCAAGTTACCATAAAAAAACGTATTGTGATTTAAAAAATGTAGGTTTAGTGAAAGAACTCTTTTTCTTATATTTCAGTTATTGATATATAACAAAGCCTGTGATCGTTTTGTTGGCAAACGAATGAACAGAGGAGCAACGAGAGATCCATCGATCGATTGTAAAGTCATCAGGGTGTTACCGTTATGTTCCACTCTGCATCTCCAGAGGCCAAAAGCAGCAAAGCCCAAGATCACAAAAAGGGTAAGGCTCACTGTACTAACGACAATGGTTTTCTTGCGCTTATTTCCATCTGGTATATGAAACAAATTCAACAATAAGTTATATCAATATCAATGAAGTAGAAGATCAAATTGCAAAAGACAAAGAAGGTATTTGATTTTATCTTTTAATGCCGTACCTAATTCAGAATGTGCAAGCCGAATGGAAAGAAGTTCTCCTCCTGAAGGATATTGCACTGCGTCCATTAGCTCTTGGTTCCACATTAAGCATCCTATTCCTTGAATATAAGCCAAGGCCAAGCAAGAACAATTTCGGAGGCAACTTTGGTAGCACTCTTCAGCATTCACAGCATTTGCAAATTCATAAAAGTCTGGAGGCTTTATGTTGGCAACAGGATGAAAGATGTTTACATCTTTGCCAGTAGACTTTCCTTGGCACAGTAGTTCGGTACGCCTCACACAACCTTCAGTCCAATTTCCTCTTTTCCACTCCTCAACGGATTTTGGTATAAACCCTTTGAAGCATTTACACTGTACAGGAACTGACCAAACACACACCCCAAAAGGTCCACATACACCGTAAATATCACATGAATGTGATGGAGCCTCATAGTCAAATACCCAATTTATTCCACTATGGTGAAACAACTTCAAGTATCCCTCTGATGTTAAAGTTACACGTGAAAGGTTGTAGCTTCTTTGAAAGAAAGAAAAGTATCCTGACCCGTTTACATCCTGGTGTAGGCTGAATGGAGTTGTATATGATTCATCCATGAAAGGTAGGCCAGTGAACCTTGTTTTAGCCCATGGACCACTTCTCCAGTGAGGCGTTGAGCCTCTCATAATAAACCCCTGTGACGGCACTTGCGGTGTAATCAGACCCACGAAGTCGCCAGGCGATGGATTAGTGTAACTTTTCCAAGAAGTCAACACCCGCTTCTCACCGGTGGCAAGATTATACGTCAGTGACGAGGAAGGAAGGAGAGTATCACCAAGATGCTCAAAGCTTTGCCATAAAAATCTTAGTGAAACATTGTCTATGACAATAAGATTTCCGCTGTCTGAAAGCTCTACACGACACTCGCTAGAGGCAAACGTTACTCCAGTGGACCACACAACGCCATGTTTGCCATTAGATAAGAGAAGACTTCCGTTGCTGCTGATAGCTAGATTTGCTGTGGAGTCTGTAATGGGTTTTTCTCTATTGGCCACCCACACAACGACCTGTGGAGTGGTATCCTTGAACCAGATTCCAACATACTGATGATCCTGGGTGTTATTTGGACTGAAGAATCCCAACTCATAAACCTTGTTGGAAGAAATGAGAGTTTGTCCTATAGACAAAGGACTTGTCGGCGTTATAGCTGCGTAGCTGAAACTTAAGAGCATGGTAAACAAAAGCAAACCAGCAAAGAGAAACCTTGTAATGGCCATGAACGATCTCCTTCAGATTAGCATAAGAAGCGAACATGTATGCAAAAGAAAGTAAGCCAAGAAAACAAAATGAAGTACTTAATTGGTTCTGAAGTACCTCTAAACAATGTTGACCACAACGCACGCGCATCTTCCAAGATTCTGCATTACTTTATTCAAAGCAAATTGTTGATCAACTTAAACCTTGTTTATAATATAAAGCAAATTGTAATGCTTTGGCACACGATTAGGACCCAACCAACTATGCAAGGAATGACCTCATATGGAAACATTTTGTCATTTTCATGTCCTTGTTTAATCCATAACCAATGAGAGATGGTCATCAACACTATGAACCAATTAAAAGATGAGAACTGTACCTTTCACAGTCTGAACGAAACTCCAACCTTTTACCCAATCAACCACACACAGTTTGAAAAGATGGTCATCAACACATATTCATCTCGCCAAGCCAAGATCAGTGAATCAATAAAAAAATGGAATCAGGAATTCGTCATCTCTCATGTGTAAGCTTAAATACTAAGATGCAAGAACTTAAAAATGTACCAGTGACGACCTTTATCTGATCTGCAAGGTACTTTTCTCTTCTTGAAAATAGAGAGCAGCTTTAAAGCCTTACATTTCGTTCCTGCATTTCACCGAACAGTTACCGTGCATAATTCATAAATTCAACAATACAGACAAGACTTGCTAATGTCGGTCAACATTGGTGTGTCACCAGCGAGAACATTCAGGTACTATTCTCGCTGAAACAAAAAGACCAGGCAAGAAAGAACAAAAAAGTCAACAATACAGACAAGAAAAAAACAAAAATCATTCTTCTCTTAGTAAGAAATGAAGAATGAATTAATGTTGAAGTTGTCAACATTGAAAAGTTGTTCCCTTTAAGGAGACAAGTCTACAATTTCTATCTCACGTGGTTTCTTAACGACCAAGGATCACAGATTGTGTCATCTCATCGACAGTGATCAAATCCCTAACATGGGATTCATCATCTCTAGAGTCCAATGCAAATGTTGGTTGTTTTGGTGGTGGAAGATCTGATGTTGTGGTGAGCATAGACAGCAACTCAAGTGTGTTTGGTCTGTCTATAGGTTGGTGTTGAACGCAGAGCAAACCAATCTGAACACATCTCTCAACTTCTAATGGCTTACATGAATCAACAACATCTTTATCAAGAAGATCAACTCCTCCATTTTCACACCAAGAGTCCCAAGCCTGTTGTTTAGTTTCAGATGTTAAGAATATAAGAGCAAGAAACGTTTTGAAACATCTGTAGCAGTATGAAAACCTAATGTCTTACTTACATATGCAAGAAGGGTTTTTCCTTCGCCATTACTGAACCTTGAGATCTTCTCTCCGCTTATGATTTCTAAAAGCAGAACTCCGAAGCTGTAGATGTCGGATTTTTCGGAGAACATCCCAGTCCATGCATACTCAGGTGACATATATCCTCTGCACACATATCAAATAGTTTCTCCCAAGTTATAATATCTGATGTTAACTTTGAATCGTAGTTAATCATAGCTTTGAGAATAGATTCTTACAAAGTTCCTACAACTCGGCGAGTGTTTTCCTGATATTCGGTTCCCTGATACATCCGAGCCAATCCAAAATCTGATATTTTTGGGGTCATCTTCTCATCCAGAAGTATATTGCTGACCTTGAGATCTCGGTGAATAACCCTGAGGCGTGAGTCGTGATGGAGATAGAGAATTCCACGAGCAATACCTTGAATGATATCAAATCTCTTTGGCCAATCAATCTCAAGCCTTTTTCTTGAATCTAAGCAAAAAAAAAGCTGCTCATAAACATATCCCATATAGAGAAGCTGCTGATATAAAAGGAAAATGGCAAGAAGTTACCCACCAAAGATAAAAGTATCAAGGCTTCTGTTCACCATGAACTCATAAATCAATAGCTTCTCTTCTCCTTCGATGCAACATCCCAAAATCCGAACTAAGTTCCTGTGCTGTAGTTTTGAGATGAGTACTACTTCATTCATGAACTCATCTTTACCCTGCCCCGAGCTGCTAGAAAGCCGTTTTACAGCAATTTCTTTCAAATCTTGCAGCCTTCCCTGAAATAGGTTGCAGAAGGTCATCTCGAAAACATAAACAACGAATACAAAAGAGAAAAGAGTAAAAAAAGAGCATAGCGTAAAAAAAACTTACCTTGTAAACTGAACCAAATCCACCTTGTCCGAGTTTATTTGATGGACTGAAATTATCGGTGGCAGTTTGAATGGTAGTCATCTCAAAGAAATATAAACCTGAGACATCATTCCTCCATGCATATTGTGAATCATCCTTTGATATATTAGCTGAGACTGAATTCCAGGAACACATAATAAGGTAATCAGTGAGTCACTATAATCAAGCAAATGTATACATAAACAGATAGTAAGATCATCAGTGTGTACCGTTATGTTTCACTCTGTATCTCCAGAAACCAAACGCAGCAGATGCTAGTATCACAAAGAGAGAAAGGCTCACAATACTAGCAGCAATGGTCTTGTTGCGGCCACCTGAATTATATAACACAAAAAAAAAATTAAACTGTATCAATGGAGTTGAAGTAGCTCTTTCGTGTTATCTTTTAAGCTGTACCTAGTTCCGAACGTGCAAGACGAATGGAAAGATGTTCTCCTCCTGCAGAAAATTGCACTGCGTCCATTAGGTCTTGGTTCCACAGTAAGCACCCTATTCCATGGATATACGCAAAGGCCAAGCAAGAGCAATTGTGGAGGCAACTTTGGTAGCATTCTTTAGCATCCACAACCTCTGCAAATTTGTAGAAGTCTGGAGGCTTTATGTTGGCAACCTGATGGAAGATATTTACATCTTTGGCAGTAGAGTTTCCTTGACAAAGTAGTTCTGTACGCCTCACACAACCTTCAGTCCAGTTTCCTCTTCTCCACTCCTCAATTGATTTTGGTACAAACCCTTTGAAGCATTTACACTTTGGAGGTACTGACATCACACACAACCCAAAAGGTCCACATACACCGTAAAAATCACATGAGTTGGCTGGAGCCTCAAAGTATACTTTCCAGGCAGTCCCAATAGGCTGAGAAATCTTCAGTGAGCCCTCTGATGTTAGCATTATACGTGGACGGTTGAAGTTTCTGTCTAAAAAAGAGAAAGATCCTGACCCGTTTGCATCCTGCTGAAGGCTAAATGGACTTGAATATGTTGCCTCCATTTGCGGTATCCCGGAGAATCTTGTTTTAGCCCATGGGCCACTTCTCCAATAAGGCGTCGAGCCTCTCATAGTACACACCTGCGATGGCACCTGCGGTGTAATCTGAAAGGAAAAGTCACCAGGCGATGGATCAGTGTAACTTTTCCAAGAAGTCAACATGCGCTTCTCACCAGTGGCGAGGTTATACATCAGGGATGAGTAAGGTAGCATAGTATCACCAAGATGCTCAATGCTTTGCCATAGAGTTCTCCCTGAAACATTGTCGATAACAATAAGATATCCCCTGTCTGAAAGCTCTGCTTGAGACCCGTTAGAAGCAAAAGTGTCTCCAATGGACCAGACAACACCATGTTTGCCATTGAATAAAAGCAGACTTCCATTGGTGCTGATAGCTAGATTTGCCATGGAGTCTGTAACAGGATTTTCTCTATTGGCCACCCAAACAACCACCCGGGGAATGATAAGCTTGAACCAGATTCCAATATACAGATTGTGAGAGTTATTAGGACTGAAAAACCCCAATTCATAAAGGTTATTAGGGGAGCTGAGAGTCTGTCCTATTGACAAAGGACTATCTGTTGTTATAGCTGCATAGCTAAAATTTGAGAATACGGTTAACAAGAGCAAGCACACAAAGAAAAACCTCGACTTCCCCATGTGCGTTCGTATGTCTCAAAGAACGATCTCCTTCAGATTATTGTAAGAAGAGAACATGCAAACAAGAGAAAGTAAGCCAAGAAAACAAACTCAAGGACGTAAGAGACAAAAATTCCCAAGCACCTCTAAATAATGTTGACCACTGCCCACCCATATTCCAAGATTCTGCAGTACTTTACTCACGATCAACTATATCCTTGTTTTTTAATACCAGTTAGGTAAAATGAAATGGTTATGTTTACCAGTTGGCTCCAAAGAATTCCAACCTTTTAGCTAGTCAACCAACCATATTGAAACATTGTGTCATTTTCATGTCCTTGTTAACTCTCTAAGCCCATAACCAATGAAAAATAGTCATCACCACTCTGATTCAACCAAAATATGATAATTATACCACTTCCCACTCACAGCCTGACCCCAATTAAATGTATCTGGTTTCACACATCGGCCTATCGCGGAAGTAAATTGAAAGCTTCAAGGGAACGTCAATTCTGGGAAATTCCTGTCCATCAGGTTCTCAAAATGGAAGATGAATATCGACATTTCTATCTCCAACTCAATCAATAACTTATGGATCAGCCTTCTCTCAAGGTCACCTACACAAGCAAGTAAAGCACAAATTATCTGGATTTCAACCTTTTGTCCAACATTATCTTTCAATTACTTCTTTAGGATTCTCACTCTGCACATGTAAAACATTCCTAAACACTTCTTCAGAGATCCCAAGAGCCATTCACTAGAGACCCTACTCAAAGATCCCATACCAAAGATCTTTTGAATACACCAGTTGACCTCTCAGCTTGAAAAAATTGTGTAGTGAGAGATAAGACATATACACTCTAAATCAATTAAAAGATGGAACTGTGTTCATAGAGCGCAGGTTTGAAGCCTTTCATCTCGTTCAGGCATTTCAACGAACACTTAGGGAGCATAATCAAAGCGTTCGAAGAAGCCTTGTTATTGCTAATGTCACCGGACCTAAAGTCGTGAATCGTCGTCATAGATAGTATGGCGGATTGATAAATCCAACTGCTTCTGACTTTACCGGCGAACGAACGTTGGAGTGACATCGTCGAGAACACAAGAGAAGACGATCCACTATTACGTTTCCATCATATACCAATGCCCCCAATGGGGAATACTTTTTAAATAGGTTTTTAATAAAAAACCTCGTAAACTATATTTCGTTAGTGAAATCAACGATCTGTCTACAATAACGTTTAATCCCAATAAAAATTATTGTATTTTGTTACAAAAATGACAAAACGTCTTAAATATTGACCAAAACATCAAATTATTTACAGGAAA